TGTACTGTAACCCTGGAACCGGCTTTCCACGTCACGAAAATGAGCTCCAAGAAGGGGGACGCGCTTAGCATGGGGTCGGGCGAGAGCACTAGGAAGCCCTGACGAGAGAGAGAGAGAGAGAGAGAGAGAGAGAGAGAGAGAGAGAGAGAGAGAGCGAGAGAGAGAGAGAGAGAGAGGTGGCGGGGGCGGGGGAGTGTTTAAGGGGAGAGAAAAGAAGTGGAGGGATAGAGATGATAGGAAGGTGGAGATGGCAGGGGGAGGGGTGTAGGCATTTCTTTTCCTTTTCTTAACTCTCAAGGAAACTATCGTCTGACTGGTTTGCTTCTCTAGTTCCCAAAGCTCCTTTCTCTGGTGTAAACGTGTCCAAAAGTATGCCCATCTTTCAGAATTATCCTTTACACAGCACAGACACTTCTCTCTGAAGAACGAGATAAAGGGAAATTCAGGTCCCCAAAACAGAAGAGCTGAAACTAGCTAATTCTTCTTGGATGTCCTGAATAAGAGCTCGGGCAGCGAGAGACTTGGGTAGAGTTTATCCTGCATTTTGCTTTGATCTCTTTGCACCAGGAATCCTTTTGTTGTGCTGCAGCTCAAAACCTTTGATTTCCTCTGGATTCAACAACCCTGTGTTTGCTCCCACCCTTTTAAACACAGAGACAAGCTAATACTCTGGAAGGAGATATAGAACACTTGGGTAACAATGATACATTTTACTTTTTTCTACCAGGAAAGACCTGGCAGTGGTGGTGGTTGGGGGCAGTTTGGATTTTTTTTTTTTAATATTTTAATTTTGTCCTGCTATTTCTCCATGATATTTTGGGGAAGGGGATGGTAGTAAGTTGCGAGGTGGGGTGATTGAGGGAAGAAGATGTTGCAGTATATGGGCGCTACCAGATCATAGTTCACACAAACCTTCTAAGAAGAATTTTTAAAGTCTCAATTGATGGTTCTACAGCCCTATCTGCTAGGGGGAAAGAAATGCATCTTAGTGGAGAAACTGCAGCAAGGGAGTCCTGTTAGCAGACACTGTGAGTTGTCAATGCACCCCCTCTCTCCCCTCCCCCGCCCTCCACACACCAGTCCTCTCACCAGCTCATGGAGAAAGGAGGGACTTTGTGGTCCCAAAAAGACTGGACTGAACCTCCATTGCCCAAGGGCTCAAAGTTAGCCAGGAGAGATGGCTTTCCCTTAAAGTACTTTTTACAAAACCAAATTTTAAAGAAAACAGTTTGTGTATCAATTTCTTATCATTCTAAATAGATATATATGTATATATATAATGACCTAAGTCAACAAAATGTTCCTTTAAGTTGTGAGAGATTTGCGTGATATTTTGCATTTAATATGACCGCACAAGTGTTGGCCACACCACGGTAGCTAAGATTGGAAACAAGGATCAGAGACTAAGCAGGCGGGCAGGATTCTCTAACATATTACACCCTTAATATTCCAGACCCACCCTATTTCTCAGATAGGTCTCAACCTAGAAGCAGACCAACAGCGACAGCCTGAGCTCAGAACCAGAGCAATCCCATCTCCATTACCAGCTGCCAGTACTCCCCACGGCTACACCCCGCCTTCTGCACCCGATGTGGACCTTATCGCAACCCATGATGCGATGGAATCGATGGATAACCGGGAGGCTTCCCTAAGCTTCCCAGTAACTGTAAATGGTCCTCTCCACAATCATTCTCCGTTCTCTCGAACTACAACCCCCTAAATTCTCGATTTGGGCCACGTCCTGAAGGCTAGTTTACCCATGTCCTTTCCTTTATCTCAGTATAGCTTGTCTAAGCGATAGGAAGATCTCCAAAAGTTGGTGTGAAGGGCCCTGGAGCTTCGAGTTCATCTGCTTCCTGCTGGGAACGTCCAGTATCATTTGTTCACCAGGAGGACAAGAAACCCTTTCTCCCCAATGTGCCCGTTTCCCACCTCCGCCCCTTCGCCTGATCTCCGAGCTCACTAATCTCACATATCTAAGATTAAATACTCCAATATGGAAGCAAAAACGATCTCCCCTAGAACAAATAATTAAAATGCTGCATCATTCATTTTCTGAACAGCTCTGAGTTTTCTACAGATCCTTTCCCAATCTGCTGTCGCCAGATGAAACGCACAATGGGAAATGATTAAAAGCTCATGCCGTTTCCTTTCTATCTTTTACAACACGAGCGAGCGATCCACTGGGGGAGGGGCCCTTCGCTCCACCACCTGGCCTATTTGTTGGAGTTACTTACGATTTCCAACCCCAGAAAAGGGGTCCGAGGTTATGTTAGTCTCCAGTACCACGCCTTATACCATCGTCCTTACAGCCAAATGATCCAGTTCAAAAATGCAACAAACCCCTAGCACCTGTGAGCGTGCAGAAGCCACTGCGGCCAAACTCTATTGCTCTACAATGCACATCCTACATGCAAGAAATACTGGTTTCAATTAGGCAAAGTAGCAAAGGATGGCGGCGGGTACCTATCCGTGCAGAGCACTCACGATCTCCCAGGTTTACTCCGAGAGTCTTCCCAGCGGGAGCTGCAAACTCTCTGGAAGGCTCAATTGTATCCATCATGCCGTAGCCCTGCAGTTCTTCCTCCTCCGGCTACCAACTTTTAGAAAGGCCACCAAATCACGCTTGTAATCCTTCTAAGTGTTTCCACCTTTGAGATTTGCAGAGAAATGGTCGCTGCATACCAATGGGAGAGCCGGGCGCGCACGGAGCGTGGCGATGCCAGTGACAGGGAGCTCACGACCACAGCTCTATATGCCCTCGAATGCAGGCAGGCAGCGTGAGTGTCCCCAGGATTTCTTTTCTTTTCTTTTTTTTTTTAAGCTCGGTGCTCTCGATTCAGGGGTGAGCTTCGCGGTCCCGGAGAGCCCTGGCTTGGTGTCTGGGTCTCTCTCTCTCTCTCTTTCTCGCTTCCTGAAAGGTTGTCACTCACAGCGCAATCCCTGCCCGAGGCCTCCTCCGAGCTGAGATGGGACTAGCCCTTGCCTTCTCCGGATGTCTTTGCTCTTGATCCTTTGGGTACGTGCGAGTGGGGCTGGGTGATGTGTAGATGAGAGAAGAGGGTGGAGAGAGGAGGGTAGGAGGCAGGAAGGGGGCAACTAGATCCCAGAACCCAGCATTGGCCAGACGGTGAAGGGGGTGGGGGGTGGGGAGGAAAGAGAAAAAAAGAGAGGATACAAATACAACGGCATGGCTGTGCACACCAAATGCGACTTGGATTTGGGGACCTCAGGCAAAGCACGAAGGTATAGCGATACTCGTGGCAGAGAGTGAGCCCCCTGACAGCTCACCATTCAAACATCCTCACTTCTCGAGCCAGAGCGGGGGGCGGAGGGGGAGGGGGGACCGCGGAACGTTTCAGGCCAAGGAGACGCTCGCGGCGGCAGCATCTTTTAAGACTGACCTGCTTTAAAAGTACTACTTTAATGGTCTAGGAAATAACTAAAATCGGATTGCACATTACTTACCAACGTCTGCACCCAAACTGAGAGCGCGCCAGGTCGGGTATTAGGAGGCAATATACGAAACGCTGGGCTGGAACCCGAATGCAAATCTATCATCCACCCCCAAATCGCACACGGAGGGAGAGGCGCTCGGGAGCCCCCAGATCAGCCCATCGCCGGAGCCTCCGCCAGCTTGTCCCCCCCGCACCCCCGGCCCCTCCTCCGCGCCAACTGTGTAAATCAGCAGCCGCAGTCCTCTGGCCGCGCATCGCAGGCAAATCCCTGCTTAGGAAGGAAGGAAGGAAGCAAGTGATATTCTGGTTCTCTCTGATTCTCATTCTCTCTCTCTCTCTCTCTCTCTCTCTCTCTCATCGGTCACAATTGGGCAGCTCTACAAAGAGAAACCCTATGAAATCGAGTGACAGAAAGTCAGCATTCTGTGGATTGATTTTAACTTTGTTTGCAATTGAGATATGGCTGTTTGGAAAATTACAGTCTAGGCCCGGGGTGGGGTGGAGGGTGGCGGATCAAATTAAGAGCATTTGAGCTGTATTGGTGGGCGGTATCGCTAAATGTCTCCTAGAAGCTGTTTCCAAGTAATTTGCAGTAGCCCTCTAAATTCATGATACATGGGTGACAATTCGAAAGTACATATATTTCCTCATCTGTTTACACTCGCTAAGAGGGAGGAAAATAAAATCGTGTGGGGGCATTTGTTGGAGAGATGTCGGATACCATTTCGTGACGAATTAAATAAGGACACTTGAACAATTATTGTGCCTATGTAAAAGTACTATTACAACATTATAAACCCACTGGAGGCGACCATTACCCCCACTGCAGTCATACTAATGCAGTCATTTAATGCTCCATTCAATCTGCAGTGTAAACCAACGCAGTTCTTTTTAATGGATCCCTTCCATCAGCGACTGTGTTGGAGAAAGGGCAGTCTTCTACTAACTCCCAAACTGAATAGGAGGTAGTGCGGGAGGAATCGTCTCCATATCTCTTGTCATTCCTTTCTGAAGTGTATGCAATAAATTGTCATAGACAAGGCAAGTTGTGTAGCTATCATAATTGTAGACATAAAATGAACTCGACCCTGTTTTCAGAAGCTTTCAAAGGAACTCTTACTCAGCCCTTGCAAAGAGACAGTACTCTCTTTTAATTTATATGTGAGAACCTTTGAGAAACAGGCCCGGAGGTATGATTCTAACGTTTATTTAATGGATTTTCTATTGTTAATTTATATTATATACATAGAATACCACAGATCTAATTCCATATTACCTTGATTAAAAGAGGAAAGGATGGAACTGGTGGTTATAGTGAAAACTAGGGGTCTGTGGAATTTTTTAGAACTTTTT